GTCCACCTGCTCCTTCCCTGCCCCTGACTCAGGCTCCCCCTCTGGTCCAGCCTCTACATGGAAGCTTGGGGGCTCTTGCTAAATATCAAACCCAACCTGTCGTTACTTTCCCTAGAACTCTCCGTGACTCCCCAATGTTCCACAGGACACAGTCCAAGGCCCTCAGCCCTGTGGCGCCAGCAACCCTAGCACACAAGCACGGCTGTTAGAGATCTGAGAGTTGAACATGTATTTCCCCTAACCTGAGAGCCTTTCCAAAAACAACTGAAACCACAGGACTTACAGATACCAGTTAGAACAGAGAAACAACGAATACCAGACAGCGCCATCTTGTGGAGAGACCCAGCACACCCAGGCATCTGCCTGCCCCTCCTCAAAAACAGTGGGAACAGACCTCATCACCCGCTCAGCTCCATTTCAACTTTACTCCCAGGAATACCCAAAGCGGCCATGTGCCACCGCGCCCCCAGCAGTCTGTTACTTGCCGGCATTTAGCTAGGCCAGTGGTCGGCAAACTCATTAGTCCACAGAGCCAAATATCAGCAGTACAACGATTGAAATTTCCTTTGAGAGCCAAATTTTTTAAACCTGAACTATATAGGTAGGTACATTGTTATTAACTTAATTAGGGTACTCCTAAGGCTTAGGAAGAGCCACACTCAAGGGGCCAAAGAGCCGCATGTGGCTCGCGAGCCGCAGTTTGCCGGCCACGGAGCGAGGCTGTTCCCTCTGCCTGGCATACCCTGCTACTCCCTCCTCATGAGTGTCAACTCAGACGCCACCTCCTCCAAGGCTGAGTCCCCAGGAGCACCAAGGCCCTCGAGTTGGGCCCAACACAAAGCCGAGCAGCCACGCGGCAGCAATGGCTCTCAACCCGCATGCCAACGCAGTCCTGTCCTGCAGACCCTCAAGTCTTTGCAACTGTTCGTGAGGAAGGTGCCATGGTTATCCCCACCCTGGCTTATGGGTGAGGAAAAGAGGCCCAGAGGGGTGCAGCCACCTACCCCCGGTCACCCAGCAAGTAAGCACAGCACCACAACCTTTCAGCATCTGTGTCCAGGTTTGACCACACCCTCCAGCCAGACTGCCCCCCAAGACAGGGCCTGAGCTGACTGAGGACGCACTGGAGCCCACTGTGCCTCAGTTCTCTCTGTACCCAGACCCGTCCATCCTTCCCAATGTCGTCTGCAAAATAGAGATGGTACCCAGTCACACCTCACCAGGTGGTATGACTACTGGAATGCAGGGAGTGCCTCCTCCTGAGCCCCTGGAAGCTTGGCCGCACTCTGGCCACCGCTGAATGGTTGGGTCTCAGTGGCTAACTGTACTGAGACCCAAGGAGGCCAGGGATTCACACTGATCATTGCAGATGACATACTCAGCACTTCCTGCATTAAATACTCACACCACCCTGCGAGGTGTGCGAGAGTACCATCTCCATTTTACAGATGAAGAAACTGAGGCCCAGAGAGTTAGGCATGCTGCTTGCTCAGGGCCTTAAAGCCAGAAAGCACTACTGCCTAGGACCGAACCCAGCTAGCCTGGTTCCAGGAGGAAGAGCGGGAGTCCGCCCAGCTCGAGGGCGGGGAGGAAAAGCCGCCCCTCCTGGGCCCCCAGCTGGCTCCCACGCGTGGAGAAGGTTGAGATATCCAGGCTGTGGGAAGCCCTGGCTGGGGGCTGCCAAGAGCCCCTGAGTGCCAGCCACTCGGCAGTGGCTTCTTCCCATCGCCCTGGAGTAGTTTCTCTGCTCTCTCCCCTCTCCTTCTATCCTGCCAGGTCCAAAGTCCCCCCTCTGCCCTTTTGCCCACAATGCCAGGCGGCAGGAGGAATGTCTGAATTGGTGGGGGTCTCAGATCCCTGGGATTCCAAGTCTGCTGACCTCTGTCATGAGCTTTGGTTAACAGCGTACATCTCACATGCTAAGCCCCCGCCATCATCTTGCTCCCAACCTCACGCCCTGCCCTGCTGCTGTCCCTGCTCCCAACAACCTCATGTGGCATCAGGACCCATGCTTGACCCAGGGGGGAAATTGAAGTCCAGAAAAATGATGTCACGTGCACAAGATCATACAACAAAAGAGTGGCAGAAGCAGATTCAAACTCAGGCCCAAAGGTTCAACTCCAGAGTCTGTGTCCTTAACCGCCACAGCCAGTCTCCCCACCATAGCCCCAAAGGAAGGAGAGGCCCAGGGCCAGCTGAGGAATTGCTGGGAGGTGAGGGGAAACTGAGGCAAGAGCCGGAAGGTCATGCGGGGTAGCAGGTGGGAAGGTGGTGGCACAGACTCACAGAACATGTGGTTAATAGTTAATCAGGTGAAGGCTTCAGAGGGGGTGGGGATGGGCCTAGGAGGAGTGCCAGAGAGAGGGGGCTCCAAGGGGGTGGAGGGTTGGGAAGAAAGCACAGAGGGAGGGGCGTCAGGCAGAGCTAAAGCTGGGGCTCAGGGAAAGGGGGACTCACCCGCCTTCTCCGCCATGTCACAGCCTCTTGTTAATGATTCCCCGGCTGACCTCCTGGGCCGGGGCAGGACCTGTGGGGAGATGAACGGAAAGGCAGGGCCTGGGGAGCCCAGCCCAGCTCCAGTGCCCCCAGTCCCAGGCGCCCATCCAGGGAGGCTGGAGGACCTGGGCCCTGGCCAGAGCACGCCATGATCACGGACGCAGATTAGGCTGGGTTCAAGGATGGGGTCAGTGTCTGACCGGTGGCCAGGGAGACACCTTGATGTGCAGGCTGGGGGTTCCCATATCTGAGCCTGGAGGACAGAGGACTGAGGGTCTCAATTCCTAGGCGGAGTGGGGGCCTGAAACCCTGGGCCCTAGGGAAAGATGGTTTGGGGGGCCAGGACTCCGTGGTATGAGGTTGGAGGGGTGGAGGGGCAGGACACTTAGTTCTAAGGGAGAAGGAGACTGGGGCCCAATCTCTGAATCTGAAGAAGGGGGGGGGCTGCTCCAAGACCCTTGGAGAGAAGTCAGAGAGCCCACTCCTGGGGTCCCTGGGAGTCCCTCAATTGGGAAGGGAGCATTGGGCTGGGTGGGAGTGAGGGGACCCTGGCCTGGCGACTGGAACTGAGGGCCCTGGTCCTTACCCTGGGGTCCGGCCGGTGGGGGCGAAGCTGAGAGATGGTGCCAGTTGAGGGTCAGTCTCCAGGCCTGGGCAGGAGCATGGTGGCCCCGCAGCGGCGGCCAGGAGGCAGAGGCAGCAGCGGCGTGGGGCCTGCTAGGCCTGGCTGCCTCACCTGAGGAGGAGGGGGCTGGGCAGGAGGCGGGGAAAGGGGTGTGGAGGGGCGGGCAAAGGGATTGGCAGCGCCAGAGGCCACCTGGCTGGTGGGGCAGGGTTTGCAGGGGCTGGATCAGGGGAGCCCAGCCACCTGCCTCCCTCCAGCCTGAGGGGTGGGCCCAGGTGTGCCAGTCAGGGGAGGTGGGAGTAGGGGCCGGTTTGGTCTGGGTACACGGGTTTGGGGAGACAGAGCAGGCTGGGGTTGCTTACGAAGACTAAAGAATGGGGATATGAATTAGAGGGAGTCAGACAGAGTGCCCCAACTGCCCTGCTCCTTCTCCTGCCTCCTGCCCAGCCCCCGCCCTACCCCAGCTCAGGCCTAACTCTGTCCCTGTCCACCCCGGCCCCTTGCAACACCCCCTGTCCAGCTCCTGAACAAGGTAGTCCCTGTCCCTGCCCCAGTTCCCTCCCCGGACTCCTCCCCAGACTCCTCCCCCGCCCCAACTCTTGCTCCAGCCTCTGACCCTTCCCAAGTCCCCTGCCCAGCCCGTCTGCTTTGCCCTGCTTATACACACCCCCCCCCCCCCCCAGCCTCCTCCCCCAGCTGCTTTCCTACAAGTCACGGGGGCTGGTTTGCTTTGGCAGCCTCTCTGCTGCCTGCAGCAATGACCTCTGGAGCCTGTAGAGTCCTAGGTAGGGGGAAGGGGGCTTGGCCCGGAAAAGGCAGCACTGAGCGCTGAGGCCCAAGCCAAGTGGCCGGAAGTGACCAATGGCAAATACACACTGTCACACTAGTGGTCAAGAGTGACCCACGTCACACCCCAGGTCCAGATAAACAGCCAGACACCTGACTGTGCACAGCCACATAAACACAGACCACAGCTCTCACCCGGCGAGGCTGTCCTCGCACAATCAGACGCATCTGCTCATCCCACTCAGCCACCGCCTCCCCCAGGGGACACACTAGTGTAGACTTGGTGCTGCTCAGCCCCTCGTCTCCCTCCCCTCTCTCTCCTTCCCCCTCTCCAACTCCCACCACTCCAGAGAGACCCACACTGCTGAGGAATGAGTGAAGAAATGAAATGGAGTCACTATAGTCGGGCTGTTAAATGTCTAAAGTCAGTTAGGTTAAGGTATAAGGAAACAATTCTCTTTTTGCTTTGACTACACTTGGAACTAGAACTTTTGAACTTTTCAGCTGTGCATCAATGGCTGGAGATAGAAACCCTATAACCGCCCCCTGAAGAACTTAGGGAAGACTGTTCATGTACCCAGACCCCTGACATCTGGTCACAACTTCAGATCCATTCAGAAGCCAAGAATGCAGAACTGATTTTTCCCCTCAAGAATGTACTTTTTACTATAAGAACTCTCAATTTTCATCTCTTCTTGGGAACACGCTGGGTAGTACACGATAGTGTTTGTTTGCAAACCCCAACACCCTTGAATACTTTGCCGCTTTTAATTTTAACAAAGCCTCCTGATTCATTTATGCTGAATGAACCAGGACCGCCCGCACTGCCTCCTTGGCTCCCTCTCAGGCCCCCTCCCACTCATGGTGACTGCTGAGCTAATGACACCCCGAGTCCCACATTAATCAAGTACTAAGTGGCTGCACTTGCTGGGCTTCCAGGCAGGCGCTGCGCCTGAGACACTGCACCCACCTGCTCCTTCCCCATCCTTTTCCCTGAATGTGTGTGGGGAGGGCAGGTCCCAGGGAAAACTGAGGCTCTTGGATTTGGGGGTGGGGTGTAGAGGGCGACTGGGTTCACGAGAGAGACTAGAAATCAAGTCCAAGAATCTTTATTTCACGAACAAAACTACTTGTGTAAAGAGAGACGAGGCTGTCTGGACCACTTTCTAAGTGGCCACAATCCAAGGCTGGTGAGAGAGGGTGGGCTGGGCAAGAGTGCATCACAGGAGAGGAGACCCCAGGTCCAGCCAGAGGAAGCAGGAGGGGAAATGTCGGTGAGGGCTGAAGAGGGTTCCAGAACCCCCTGCGCAAAACCGTTCTGGCCTTCACGACCCTGCTGGGCAGGGAGGGGCTGGGCCCCATAGTGCGTGTCTGAGCGGCCAATGTGTGCAAATCAGCAAGAAGGAGGGGTGCGGAGCCGCTGCCCCCCTCACCGCCCCCCCCCCCCAAAAAAAAACAGGCAGCAGAAGCAGGGGCGGTGGCAGCGGCAGTATTGCTTTAGCCATCATGCATGGCGAGAGTGGGCAAGTGGGCGGGAGGAAGAAGGCTGGATTAAGGGTGTGAGCTAAGCCACCTGTCCCTCCCCCCCTAGCAGCTCCGCTGGCAGGACTCTGAGGCTGTGGAGGCCCAGGAATGGCCAACCCCCATTGGGGGCAGGCTTTGCCCGGAAGTTCCCCATTAGGGCTGGCTCTTCCTTGAGGAGCCCAGGGCCTAAAGGTGAGGGAGAAACAGGATCAGGGACCTAGTGAACTGACCCCCTCCCAGACTTACCAGCCCCTGCCCACACAGCCACCTTACCAGGGCTATTCAGCCACCTGGACACCCGTGCAGTTCTCTTTGCTTTCTGAGGTGATGGCCAGGTATTCCGAACTGTGGGAGCAAAGGCCAGGTGGACAGGGACCCCTTCATCAGACTGGCCCACCGCCAGGAGACTGAGGAGGGTTTGGTCTCTGCCCCAGGAGCACAGGGCTCCGGGGTTAGAGAAAGGAGGGGCGACAGGCTGGACTCCTAGTGACCCACAAGAAGTCCAGGCTGGAGTCTGGAGTCCTGAGTCTGAGGCAGGAGAGGACTGGGGGCTCAAACTCCTGGGTCCTGGGGAAGAAAGAGGCTGGGGCCTGGACTCCTATATCTTTGGGGGACAGTATGCTGGGCCTGAACCCTGAGTCCTAAAAGAAGTGGGGCTGAGAGTATGAGAGAGGAGGGTGCTGGGACCTTCTCCCATCTCTGATAACAAATGTCCCCCTCTAGGGACAACTGGCAGATGGTGCCCCGGGTTGCTCCCCTCCCCTCCCCACTTAACTCCTGCTCCCCTCTGGGTGTCCTGGGTGCCTCCCCCCTCCTCACCGACCCCACTTACGCATTTTCTTGCGCAGCAGCCTCTGTGGCAGCAGCGATCTTCTTGTAACAATAAACCATCTCAGCCACAAGCCATATGGTTAACACCACGATGAGCACATACATCATGATCTCAGACACGATGGACGCCATGTCTCTGTTGGCTGCAGGGGCCAGGCAGGACGAAGTGGCAGCTGAGGCCAGGCTCAGGAGGCATGACCGCCTGAGTTCCTCAAGCTTGTGTGCCAGCTGGGACAGTGGCTCGACCTCCCTGGGCCTGGTCTGCACATGGCATGGGGGGCTTCCCTAGTGTCGTCACTGTTACTGTGGTTCGCCACCAGCTGTGACGGGCTGCAGGGTCACCTCATCCTGCCTTCCTATGTAACTTGAGGGTGCATCGGTGAGGGTCAGGTGGCTGGAGGTGCCCAAGAGCTAAAGCTCTGCAACCAGAAGGCTCGGGTTTAAATGCAGGCTCTGCCGCTTGCCCGCTGTGTGACCTTGGCAAGTGCCTCAACCTCTCTGGGTCTCAGTTTCCTCATCTGTAAGAAGTTGATCATCCTATCTCCTTCGTGAGAGTGATGTAGAATTAAAAAGGCTTTAAAAAGTCGTAGACTAGTGCTTGACATATAGATGTCAATAAGTGTGTTCTATTATTAATATTATTACTGTTACTATTGGGGCAGTACAGCATGGTACTTAAGAGCAGGGGCTCTAGGGCCAGACTGTCAGGGCTTTGCCTCTTAGTAGCTGTGTGACCTTAGGCAAGTGACTCTCCCCCTCTGGGCCTTGATTCCCTGTAAAATGAGGGCGAGAATTCTCATGCCTTCTCACAGGGTTGCTGGGAAGAGAAAATGTCAGTCAACATCCCTCAGGTGCTTGGCTGCACTCACAGACACACTGTCTAAGCACTGGCTACTGCGCTGTTTCCGGAAACCCTCTGTCCTTCCACAGCACTGGCTCCTTTCATCGGGCCTAAATTTAAACTGTAACAGGAGTGCACTTAGCCAGGGGACCAGAGTTGAAGGCCACTGTGGCATCCTGGGCCAGATTCCGCAGGTGTCTGCATCCCCAGCCCCTCCTCTGGCTGGCCAGTACCTCATCTTCCCCCCACTGGGCCCATGTGGTCTTCCTCCCTGTCAGTGCGCACTTCCTGCTGCTCACCCGCGCAGATGGCACTGTTGCTTTCTGGGCCAGAGCGAGGGAGGGTACAGGGCCGGATGCTTCTCCCCTACTTCCCCACAGGAGGAGGTGGGGACAGGGTTTCACACTTCATTCATTCATTCATTCATTCACTCAAAGGATCTCATGAATGCATCTCATGCAGTGAATATGTGCTCTCAGCCAGGCTCTGTGCTTTGGTCTTCATCTGAGCATCTCCCTGACTCTTCAAAACAACCCCAAAGGTAGAGACAGTTCCAGTTTCCCATGTCAACTGCCCTCAGGAAGCACACTGAGTTGATTGATATATGTTCAATACAGCTCATATCACCAGAATTCTCAACCCTGCTCCAGGAACTCAATGCCCAAGTGGATTTAAGTAATTTTGTACCTCCTGCTCTTCCAATCTGATGAGGACAGTGACAGACACTGCTCTATAGCTCATTTTCCAGACAAGGATACTGGGGCCTAGAGAGGGGAAGGTGCTGAGCAAGAATGCACAGCCAGGGCTGGACTCGGCGCCAGGATTCAACCCCGACTATAACTGACTGCAGGGTCTGAGCTCCTATCTGCTCTGTAAAGCTTCCACAGCCAAAGAAAGACTTGGTAATAGCTGCTGTACAGAGAGTGCCGTCTCCATCGACCCACGCAGACATCTCAGGTGGAGGACCATCGTTCTCCCTCGTTACAGATGAGAAAGTGAGGCACAAGGTCACAGAGAAGCTCAGAGGCACCTTCTCTGGGGAGATCTTTGATATCTTCAAAAACCCCAAATCTTACAGGCCGGACTTCTCACCAGCCTCAAACACTGCTCTACCTCGAGACATTCTTCACTCCTACTGGGCACATCTGAGGAAAGAGTGAGGAAATCAACTGATATCACTGTGCTCAAGCTGCTAAATTACTAAAATCAAGTAGGTGGAGGCAGAGGAAATGATTCTACTCCTGATTCCGCTAGTCTAGAAACGTAAACTTTTGATCTAATGCTCACGTGTCCAGACCTACTACATCCATTATCCAGACCACCAGACACCTGGGAAATCACATCTCGGGTTAACCCAGAGGCTTGGAAGGTAGGACTGGTTTTTCTCATGAATGCACTTCTTACTGTGAGAGCTCTTAGCTTTTCTTTCTTCTTCAGAACACTCTGGGTATTGTCTAGTTGTGTTTCCAGTTTGCAAACCTGAAGACTTTTAAATAAACTTGATCATTTATTTCTAGCCAAAGACTCCTGATTCACTTACACTTGGCTGATATATCCAAATAGAATTAGCCCTCTTCTCCCATCTGCCAGCCCCACTCCCCGTGGGGGCCGCAGATGCCTCCTACCAGCTTCTGTACCTCTGCCAAGCCAGTGAAGGTCTCACCACCAACACCCACTGCCCCTCCTTTAGAAATGACTCAGTTCATTCCTTAGCAGTTAGTTATTACCAGGAAGCAACGTAGGCTGATAGGTAATGTTGAAACTGCAGGAAGAGAGTAACTAAAATAAAAAAGAATATATCCCAGCCAGTGTGGCTCAGTGGTTGAGCATCGACCTATGAACCAGAAGACCATGGTTTGATTCCCGGTCAGGGCACATGCCCAGGTTGTGGGCATGATCCCCAACAGGGGGCGTGCAGGAGACAGCTGATCAATGATTCTCTCTCATTATTGATGTTTCTATCTCTTTCTCTCCCTTCCTCTCTAAAACCAATAAAAATATATTTTAGAAAAAGACTAAACCGCCGAAACCGGTTTGGCTCAGTGGATAGAGCGTCGGCCTGCGGACTGAAAGGTCCCAGGTTCGATTCCGGTCGGGGGCATGTACCTGGGTTGCGGGCACGTCCCCAGTGGGAGATGTGCAGGAGGCAGCTGATCGATGTTTCTCTCCCATCGATGTTTCTAACTCTCTATCTCTCTCCCTTCCTCTCTGTAAAAAATCAATAAAATATATTTAAAAAAAAAAAAAAAAGAAAAAAAAAAAAGAAAAAGACTAAACTAACATGAAACTTTCAACAGTTTCTACACACAGACACCAAAATAAATAAATAAATAAATAAAGGATATGGCATGGCCAACAATGCTAATAATACAATAATATTATGGGTAGTAAAATACTATTATGTGATGAGTAAGGTTAAAAATACTACAATATGCCCTAGCTGGTTTGGCTCAGTGGGTAGTGTTGGCCTGTGGACTGAAGTGTCCTGGGTTCGATTCTGGTCAAGGGCACATACCTCAGTTGCAGGCTCAATCCCTGGCCCTGGTCAGGATGCAGGAGGCAACCAATCGATGTGTCTCACATTGATGTTTCTCTCTCTGTCTCTCCCTCTCCCTTCCACTCTCTCTAAAAAAAATAAAAAATAATAAAAAATCAATGGAAAATATCCTCTGCTGAGGATTAACAAAAAATTTAAAAATTACTACAATATGGTGGGTGATGAATATATCATAACAAGTAAAATTTTTAAATACTACAATATAATTGATATTTTAAAATACTACAGCATGGCAGGGAATGATAAAAATATGATAGTATCTACTTATATAAAAACCATGGGTGGCGTTCATCACGTCCAGAGGAACCATCACGACCAAGCAGAAGGAAGTCAATCCTGCAGGGGTTGTCTTGGCAACAGCTGCACCCTCCCCCAAGCTGTTTGTTTCCTGGAGCTGTTTCCCGGAGCTGTTTCCTGTACAGGCGGGGTTTGAGGCAGGAACCTGCCCTCTGAGCGTGGAGGCAGATCTTTCTAAAGTGTGCCGCGTGCCAGCATGGCCAGGGGTGAACCTGAGTGGGGTCGGCTGAAAGGCTTAGAAAAGACAGACAAGAGAATGAAAGCCGGGTCTTGGTGGGACACTGCTTCTCTGAGAGACAGCAACCACGCCCACAGCCATGTCTTTATTTTATAGCAGATGCCACGAGGCAAAGTAAGGGTGTGACCAAGATGTTTACAACATTCTCCCGGGTTTCAATCCTACTCAACTACATGCACCTGAACTCTATCAAGCCTACATCACTCAGGCACATGGGGCCACACGTTCGGACCATAGGTTCAAGCTTACAACTACAGCTATTGGCTATAATTGTGCTGGGAGGGCCCTGCCCTCCAAGCTGGGACTTGCACGTGGCAATGAGAGGACTGTGCCCTCTCATCAGTCCAAGGCTTGAACCTGTCCAAAACACTGTAGCAGCTCCCCACAATAAAGTTTTAATTCTGTTTCTTTGTTACTAATGTTGTGGCCCCACCCCATAACAAAGAAACAATTTCCAGAGGATGAGGCCCAGGAATAAGGATTTTAAAAAGATTCCCAGGTGATTCTAATGTGCAGCCAAGGTTGAGAACCACTGCTATAGATAATATTAAACATATATCTAAATGTGCAATTCTTTGTCCAAAAAGGGATCATGTTCAAAAATTAAATGAAGAAATTTTGGATATACTCGATGGAGATTTTCACACATATCTGAGTGATGATTCCATTGATTCCACAGATGATGCTGAAAAGGAAAAATTTCCCATCGAATTTCTTAATAGTATTACTTTTTTGGGAATGCTGTGTCATAAATTAAAATTGAAAGTGGGTGCAATCATCATGCTATTGAGAAATCTCAATAGTAAATGGGGTCTTTGTAATGGTACCAGATTTATTATCAAAAGATTACGACCTAACACTATCGAAGCTGAAGTATTAACAGGATCTGCAGAGGGAGAGGCTGTTCTGATTCCAAGAATTAATTTGTCCCCATCTGACAGTGGCCTCCCATTTAAATTGATTCGACGACGGTTTCCCGTGATGCCAGCATTTGTGATGACTATTGATAAATCACAAGAACAAACTCTAGACAAAGTAGGCATATTCCTACCTGAACCCGTTTTTGCACATGGTCAGTTATATGTTGCTTTCTCTCGAGTTTGAAGAGCATGTGATGTTACAGTTAAAGTTCTAAGTCCTTCATCACACGGGAAATTAGTCAAGCACTCTGAAAGTGTTTTCACTCTTACTGTGGTGTACAGGGAGATATTAGAATAATATCAGTCATTGTTTGCATCACTTGTTTTTATATCACGTTTTTGTTGTTTTCATATCATGTTTTTGTCATTTTTATATCATGCCTCTGTTGTTATATCCTTGTTACTGTTTATTTATTAATAAATTTATATATTATTTTCATATATTTTTACTAATTTCCTTTCATCTCTCACACTTCTATTATAGAGAAAGGGCAAATAGCAATATTAAAATATCTCCACTAATTAATTCCCTTTTTTAAAAAAATATATTTTATTGATTTTTTACAGAGAGGAAGGGAGAGGGATAGAGAGTTAGAAACATTGATGAGAAACATCAATCAGCTGCCTCCTGCACACTCCCACTGGGGATGTGCCCGCAACCAAGGTACATGCCCTTGACCGGAATCGAACCTGGAACCCTTGAGTCCGCAGGTTGATGCTCTATCCACTGTGCCAAACCAGTTAAGGCAATTAATTCCCTCTTAATGTGCACGAATTTTGTGCACCAGGCTACTAGTGGTAGATAATGTTAAAAATACTTTAGTGTGGCCAAAACCGGTTTGGCTCAGTGGATAGAGCGTCGGCCTGCGGACTGAAAGGTCCCAGGTTCGATTCCGGTCAAGGGCATGTGCCTGGGTTGCGGGCATATCCCCGGTGGGAGATGTGCAGGAGGCAGCTGATCGATGTTTCTCTCTCATCGATGTTTCTAACTCTCTATCTCTCTCCCTTCCTCTCTGTAAAAAATCAATAAAATATATTTTAAAAAAAATACTTTAGTGTGATGGATTATGATAAAAAATACTGTTGTATGCTAGGTAATGTTAAAACAGTATAGTATAGAGTATAATATAAAACACTGTAGTATAGTGGGTGATGCTAAAAGGCAATACTATAATAGAGTAGATTAAAAAAAACACTAGAGAATGGGGTCGGGGGCAATGCTGAAACCATAGGCTCTGCGAACACAACATAAAGAGCTCTCTATTATGATAGATGTTGTTAAGAACATAGAGTCTGAGAGTAGAGCAATATGGTAGATAATGTTAAAAAGGGGAGACCTTACTGATCCACGGGTGTGCTTGAGCCCAGCCTCCACCAGGAAGATGAGGGCGGCAGCCTGAGCCAGGCAAGACCACAGATGGAAAGAACCGCGTGCCTGACGGGATCACGGCACCTTCCTGCCCTCCGGACCCTCATCTCAGCATTGATTCCAGAGACAGGATTGACACAGATTATAAGACACAGTATGTGGGGGCATCTTTGTCACAGCCACTCCACTTTCTCCACACTCATGCAGGCGGGGCCCCATCTTCTGTGTGAGTGGCTGCCCACCCAGCATGGTGTCCTACACCAAAGAGTTGCTCAGACATGTCTCCTGCATTGAATTCTGCTAGATCACTTTGGTGTGTGTGTGTGTGTGTGTTTAATATATTTTTATTGATTTTAGCGAGGAAGGGAGATAGATAGAAACATCGACTGGGTGCTTCCTGCACCCCCCTACTGGGGATTGAGTCCGAAACCCAGGCATGTGCCCTGACCAGAAATCAAACCGTGATCTCCTGGTTCATGGGCCGATGCTCAGCCACTGAACCACACCAGCAGGGCTGCTAGATCACTGTGAAGACAGTGAGTCACGCCAAAGCAGAAACGGCAGTCACAGAGGCTTGGTTGGCTTCCAGTTCAGGTCCCAGCCCCATGACCTTGGCCATGAAATCTTACCTCCCTGAGCCTGGGCTTCCCCAACTGTAAGAGCCCCAGCCCAGAGGGTCTGCATCTGCACGAGGTGCTGAGCCTGTCTTGGGGAAAGGAGGGACGGCCACATTGCCCATGATGGTATGTGTGTGCTGCGGTCCCCAAGGGACATCTTTGCCACAGCTTTTTGGTGGTCCAAGGTCTGGGGTATCTCCCCGACTCTCTAAGCCGATATGGCTCAGAGGGCCCTGGAAAATTCCAACTTACATCCTTCAGAATATGGTTCAGAGAAGGGGTCCAAGGCAACTGAGAGCAAAATGATGAAACGGTTCAAAAACATCTTAGATCCTACTACCCAGGGTGGCCTCAGACCTGCAGCACCAGTCTTGTCTGAGCGCTTTTTAGAAATGGTCCCTGGGCCCAGCAGGTCTGCTGGGTCTAGATCCACACATTGGCAAGACTCCTGGAGGGCTGTGTGCAGAATTGGAGGAGCACTACTCTAGGTGATGCACTCATATCTCTTCCCCCATGGTGACACGGGAAGGCGGTTCTCAGGCTATTTGACAAGCCGAACTGCCACCATCGCCCCACATACAGGCATGCCAGCATCTGACACCCAGCGTATCACTCAATCCTCACAACCTCCCTGGGACATAGGAATTTTTCAAACAACATCCTGAAAGGTAGATATCATTACTGTCCTGTTTCCTACAGAACAAACCCTTCAGCTCAGAGACAGAAAGACACCTGCCAGAGGTCACACAGCACAGACAGCAAAGGTTCCACACCCAGAACTTCCATGGGAGAGGCCTTCTGTGACATCTCCATGAATTGAAGGGAAATGGAGGCCAAAGTTGGGGTTGGGGAAAGAGATGCTGTTCCCCTTGCTGCCGTAGGCAGTTGGCTGGCCCAGAATGCAGCCCGCCTGTCCCATACCTGCCATCTGTCCCTCCATCTGGCTGCCAGTGGAGGGGGACAGGCAGGGCCTGACTCACCTTTGTCCACCACCTCCAAGTGGATCTTCTTGACGACGGTGGTGTTGTGCTCATAGTTCTCAAAGAAGAGCAGGCGGTAGACATGGCACTCGTAATCACCCGAGTGGTTGTAGGTGACATTTGTGATGAAAATGGACAGGTCCTGCAGGTCCCTGGTGCCCCGACTGCCGTTCCACACCACACGGCCCTCAAAGCGCTCGTCCTCCTCCAGCTGCAGCACCTCGTTCTCATAGCGCAGGATCTACAGGCAGCGGTGGGGTCACTGCCTGGGCTCATGTCCCCCACCTAGACCTCTATTCTGTCCTTTGCCTGGACACACAGACAGACATATGGGTACACACATGGGCTCAGGCAGGGAGGGCACAGCGGGGCTGGGGTCATGCCTGGGTCTGCCTCAGACCCTGATTGTGCCCCTAGTCCTGAGACACACACTCACACGCATTCCCCTTCACTCCCCCAGCCACTATTCGTTCCTACAATTCCCCCCGGTCTCCAGATATCCGCCTCACTCTCGGACAGAGGCAGCCTGACCCTGCTGATGTAGACCCTAATTCTCCAGTGGGCCCTAAAAGTGTACGGCGCCCCCTCAGCTGTAATTCAAAGCACACATCGTGTAAAGGAGGTCAAAACGTTCTGCTTCTCCTCTATGACGGCCACCCAAAACATTCTGCTGGTACAAAATAATTCCACTGTGCCAACCATGGGCCAGGTGCATCAACTCAGCCAATCCTCACACAGACTACGAGCCGAACACCATGACCGCCCTATCTTTTCAGAGGAGAAAACGGAGGCTCAGACAGGCTCAGTGATCTCCCCAAGGTCACCAGCTGGTCAGTGGTGGAGCTGGAACTTGAATCCAGGTCATCAAGAATAGCACATTATTGAAAGCAAACAATCAGCCCCTCAATCCTGCCCCCACTCAGACACCTACGCTCACCCTCCCACGCCCCGGACTGGGCTCCCACACACCTTGACAAACTCCTCAGTGCCCTTCTGGCGGAAGGTCCACTCAGTGAAGGTCTCAGCGGTGGTTTCGCTGCGGCGCTTGCAAGAGATGCACAGAATTTTGAAGGTCTCCCCGTACACAGCCTCCGTCTCCGAGTCTACCTCCACACAGCCCGCCCAGGCTGAGGATACTGTGGGGACAGCAGGGGCACCTGTCACCCTAGGCCATGCGAGGCTCGCGGGTTGTTGGCCCCTAGGAAACCATCTGTTTCCCCTCAAAAATGATGATGAATGGACAGAGCCGACACAGCCTGGCTCTGCCACTTACTGTGTGCTCTTGGCAAGTCACCCATCTTCTCTGAGCCTCAGTTTTCCTCTGTGAATGGTGAGGGAAGCAATCATCTCTGCTTCTGGAGTTTGCTGAGCAGATTCCGTAAGTTAGGTAACACCCCAAAGGGGAGGGGGGGGATGGCACACAGCAGGGGGCTGGCACACAGGAGGCCCCAATCAATGGGGCTGTTACTGTGCTCAGTAACTCTGAGTATGTGCTGCCCAAGTACCCCTTCTTCAGAAGGCCACTTGTCTGAGGTACTGCGACATCTCAGTGGCGGGTCTGAAATTCCAGCTAGGTTAGAAGTTCAAGGTGGCAGTCATTTCCACCATTATTGCTCCGCAAAACTAGCCAGCTCCAGAGAAGGCTGGGAAAAGGCAAGGCCTCAAAGGGAGAGGTGGGCCCTAGAAGTAGGGAAGACCCACACTCCATTCCTAATCCCCAGTCCCCAACAGCTCCTGCCTCCGTCCTCAGGCTCCCACCTCCTATCAGCTTCTCCAAACTCACCAAGCTCTTTCCTGCCTCAGAGCCTTTGCACTTCCAGCGGATTCCAGTTCCTTTGGGTCCCTCCTCCACATTCTTACCTGCTACCTCCTTCCGGCCCCCACCCCACCCCCACAGGTCACTAACTAATGCTGTGCCTCCAGCTCCAGCTCTGGGTCTTTCTCTTTGTCTCTTCCTCTATTATTCTTGTCCCCTTACTCTGCTGTCCCTTTCCACATTCCTGAATAACTGTCTCTGATCCCCCTCCCCCCCCCTAGGTGTTTTTCTGAAGGTCCCACCACTTCTGTTCGCTCTCCCGCGCTCTTTCCACCTTTCCCTGTCCCTTTTTAAGCTCCATTCTTCCCCGTGTCTACCCGTGTCTCCATCTCTTTCTGCCTCTTTTAATTTGCTCTCTCTGCAGCTCAGATGAACTCTCCTCAATCTCTTTCTCTGTCAAACTCTGCCTCTCTCTCGTCTCTGCCCCTTTACTTCCATCTCCCATCTCCCAGTGGAGCACTCCAGAGTACTCCGGGTCCTTCTGCGTCTTTCGCCCCTTCCCTCTCCTGTCACTCTCTCTTTCAGCCTCTCCATCTCTCCAGCCTGTCTCCGGGCGCCGCCTCCTCCCCCACCCCTAGCCCCCCCTGCGGCGTGGGTGTCACATTGCAGCCCGCGGGGCTCCGGGAGCAGCTGACTCCACGTTTCCTCGCCCCCAGCTGGGCACCCGAAGCCGCGAAGCCGTGCCAGCGGGACCCCGCGGTCTCTGGCCCACCCGAAACTTCACCCTCCCCCCAAGCCCCGCGCCCGGCGCGCACAACTTCTGAGGGACTCAGCCAGGCCGGGGGATGGGCGGAAACGGCCCTCGCCCCACTCTCCGGGGTCCCGAGCGCGACCCCGCCGCCTGGCCGTGCCCCGCTGTGTCCCTCGCCGCGCGCCCCCCGTCCACTTACTCAGCGCCGTGCCGACCACGAAAGCCAGCAGTGTCCTCATGACTGCGCTGCGCCCCTCTCCCGGGCCGCCGGTATTAATAGCGGGGCAGAGGCGCCGGGCCCGGCGGCCGTTAGAATGTCCCCGGGAGCGCGCGGGCGCAGCAGCTGCGGCTCTGGAACCAGCGAGGTGGGGGAAGGAGGGGGGGCGCGGCCCCCCCGCTCCGGTTACCGCCGGGGGCCCAGCCCCGGGGCCCGGCGTCCGGGCATCCCCGCCGTGCGGGTGGCTGCTGTTGGTCAGGCTGCTGCGCTGGCGCGCGCAGCCGGGCGCATCCACCAGATGCCCGGACCCAGGCCCCTTTAGGCTTGGGCGCGGGCCCCGCTTTCCTGCGCACTGCAGCCGCGGCGGCCTGCGAGGGAGGAGGGAGAGGGAGGGGGCGGGATGAATCACCGCGGGGGGGCGGGGGGGGAGGGCGCGGCAGCCAAGCCTTTGCCGCAGCGGCCCGGGAGGCGCCCGCTCCACCGGCCTCTCCGGATGGCTCAGGGACCACGGCTTCTGGGCAAGGGCGCATGGTCTGGGTGTCCGGCCCCTTAAGATGCTGGGAACCCCCAGCATCAGAGTCTGGGAAAGGTCACCCCCAGAATCACAAGGGGGCTGGGAGGGCAGTTTGGGGGCAGGGCTTAAGAATTCAAATTATAGAGATCATCCCCATGGGATCAAGAGCGTCTTGCTGGACCACCAAGTGATCCCTGCATCAGGACAGGGCATGGGGAGATGTCAGGCTAGGACCACCTGTAATACTCCAGACCCCTCCCAAACAGGAGGAACACCCTGGATCCAAACCAGAGGACACCCTGGGAGGTTGGGGTGCTATCTTTCAGGAGGATGCCCCCTCCTTTGTCTCTGACATCATCTTGTATTCCTCTCTCTCCCATGCCTAAGCTGGCTGCCCAGGTCCCTGCTGTTTCCAACACACCAAGCTCATTTCCACCTCAGAGCCCTTGCCCTTGCCCCTCTGTCTGCCTGGACCACTCTTCGCCCAAGTATCCACAAGGCTCACACCAGCTCCTCCTACGGCTCTTGGCTTCAATGTCACCTTCGTCAGGGCTCTGTCCATTCCAGGGAAACTGCCTCCCCCTTCCTTACTTGACCTCCTTTACTTGTTACAATTTTCCCCTCACAGCCGTTGTCACCAGACATTGTACTCTTCCTGTATATAGTTTCTCTGTTCACCATGTGTCACTCCAGTCCTGGAATATACATCCCCAGGGTGAGGACACTGTCCTGTGCACCTGTCTCCAGCACCCTGAACTGTGCCAGGCACAATGTAGGTGCTTGATAAATATTTGTCAAGTGAATAAGCAAGTGCCAATGCCAGAGTCCTTGTGATATGCTGAATCCATTTCTAACCCCTAAACATGCGCAGCAAGTTCTATCATTAGCCCCATTTCAGAAAGAGGAAACTGAGGCTGAGTCGCTCCCTCGGCTAGGGCCATGCCCCTGGCCTCAGGTAGATCTGGAATCCTGCCCAATGATGGCAGGTGGCCTGTCTCGTCAGTAAGTTCTGCCAAATGGAGAGGATAGGCTGTCAGACTCTGGTGGGGGTGAGACTTCTGATTGGGGGATGTGGGGGTCACTGTTCAGGCCCTGACCACCAGTTCAGGGGTGGGGGGAAAGGTCCCAGAAACCCCCTGGCCTAGCCCTGCTGGCCAAGAGGAACCAGGGTGTGGGGCAGACCTGTGGCAGAGGGACAGGAAGCCAGGGACATCGGACACTTCTGTGGTCTGGGCCTCTGTGCCAGCATTTACTTCCTGGGTTGTGAAATTCCCCTACAGAAAATAACCTTCTTGCTATTCTGAGTTTTCCCTCTGGCAGGGGTGGTAGGCAGAGGCACAATGAGGACAGGTCTTAGGCCTGGGACATGGGCACCTACTGGCAAATGTTCCCTGAGCACCTGCTATGGGCTTGGTGCTGCTCTATGCACTTACTAACATTAACTCATATAATTCTTCCTACAAGGTGGGTATTACCATTGTGCCCACTTTACAGGTATGGGAAACTGAGGCTCAGAGTGGGTAACTTGCCATGACCACATAGCAGAGGATAGGAGAGGCTGACTCTGCTCTTCCCTACTTGTGGTCCATCCTGCCTGTCCCATTCCTCCTCCAGTCCTCTGCCCCAGGCCATCAATTACAAAAATTCTTACAGCCTCATTGGGACATATTGAAGGTCTCTCTTTATCCCTTAGTCACTCTGGAACCAGCACATGATTTGAGTGGACAAATTTAGGTTTTACCTGGACCAGAGACTATCTCTAGGCCCATTTCTTCATCAGTAAGACATGGGTTCAGATAGCCTCATCTGGGTGGGCTGTAGTGGGGTCCTGAAGAAGTTAGGACCTTCCATCTAAATGTGGAGCCACCAGGGGCCAGACCTACAGTCCCTGCCTTCCTACTGAAGGGCCTCAGGCATGTAACTATTTGTCTCCATCTCATAGAGCCAAGGCAAGAATTAAATTAAGAACATCAGCCTGGTATGCACTTGGTGCTCACTACACGAGTTACTTCTTCCCCCTTCATTTTTCTGAGTAACATTACTTAGTACCCTATCATAAGTGACCACATTTATTAACTCCTTGCATCCTCACAAAGCAGTTCTCAAAGTGGGATCCCTAGACAAGTATCATCAGAATCACCTGGGAACTTGCTGACAGTACAGGCTGTTGGCCCACCCCAGACCTGCTGAATCACACTTTGCCGGGGGGTCTGGCGATCTGCCCTCCAGGAGATTCTGATATAGCTTAAGTTCGAGACCCACTCACTTCGAACAACCCTGGGAGACTGGGGCTATTCTTCTGCCCACTGGACAGAAGACAAAACTAAAGCTGGAGGAGCCTGACCGGCTCCAGGTTACATGCCTGCTTAAGTACCAGAGGGAGGATCTGAACCCAGGCCGCCAGGCATTAGAGTCTGTCCTACGAGCCCCACACTGGACCCTGATGATGCACAGCTTGTGTGAGATGCTCGGGAATTTCAGGTCATGTCAGTGACTATCGTCCCAGGAAATGGACAGACCCCCTTCCCTGGCGCATGGGATCCGAGTGCAACAGGAGGCTCCCGCCCATTCCATAGGCACAGCCACAGCCATTTCCAACCCTTTATTAGGACTCTGTCAGCCCAAATAAATACATTAAACCCAGAGCTGAGGGAATCATGCACCCCAGGAGGTGCCCCCACAACCCCGGCAGGGCAAAATAAGTTAGCAGGGGGCCTGCCAAAGACCAGGCCAGCTCCCTGGCTGGGCAGGCAAAGGCAGCTGGACTCGCACACGCTGGTCTAAAGTGCATCTCGGTTCTGTGGTCCCATGTCTGCATGGCCCCTAGCGGGACCACTGGGATGGGTGGGCAGGAGGTTCCTGGTGCTCACACCGTGCCAGCAGTGGTCACCGAGGTTCTGTGTCCATCTGTCCATTTGGGGGAGTGACTGTGTGACCTGGCGTCCTCAGGAGAAGCTGTCGTCGGACCGTGGCTGGGAGTCGAAGGGGGGGTCTGACACAGTGATGCCTTGATGCAGCTTCTCCAGCGAGAACTTCATCTGGGGGAAGAGGTGAATGCTGAGAGGGGTGATAGCACTCCCCACTCTGCAGTTGAGGAACTGAAGGTCCAGAGAGGCCATGTCCCCTTGCCAGGGTCACCGTGTTACATAAGCGGAGCCATCCTGTACCCAGCTTCACTTCTTACAGGCAGCAGATGGAAGGGGCCCAGATGGCCTGGGTTCAAGTCCGGCCTCCGCTACTTACTGAATAACCTTGGGCAAGCCCCTTACCCGTCCCAGGTGCCTCAGCTGCAAGATGGTTCAGTAACATACCCACTGCACCAGGTTATTTCAGGGTTCTGACGGGGGAACACCTAGGACCTGGCACACAGGTTACTCTTATTCCCGGCTGCGCAACCTTGGGCAAGTTGAATCGCTCCATACCTCAGCATCCCTATCTATTACAGGGGGGGATAGGAGCACCTCCCTCAGGGGCTGGCCATGAGAAGCAAAGCAGTTGGTCATTTTGACTCTGAGAACAGCCCAGCTTGATCAGTGTCTGCTGTTAGCATACATTTGAAAAGTCAACTCTGTGCCCATAGCAATGTGAGAGGGAAATAACAAGAATTTAGCTGAGGATGGCAAGGCTCTGCCCTCCTCTCTGAGCTTCACACCCCTCTACCCTGTCCTATGGCCTTTCCCAGAGTGAGCTTATCTGTTCGAGCATAATTTCAGGGTGCAATGAGGCCCCTAGTAAGCCTCAGCATTATGGCCCATAGTGACCAGACACGATGTTCAGTCACCAACCAACTTACACTCAGATACCCTTGGGTGCCCAGCCAACGCCAGCTGCTCCCCAGCTTCCCACACCCGCTCCCCACATTGGGCACTTACCCCAGGTGTCTCAAATTTGTGCTGAGCCACCACTTTACTGAGCACCTGCTGTGTGCCTAGCACTGGGATTGCAGTACTAACAGCAAACACAGTGTTTGCTATGAACTTGGCACTATTCCAATTTGAACTCATTTAATCCTCATAACAGCCTTTGAGGTACCGTCAATTACTATCCCATTTACAGAGGACGAAGCCAAGGCCCCAAGTCACACACCGGAATTTAAGCCTGGCCTTCTGAATAGATGCTGCCCCTGAACTATAGGGGGTATATGGGGCACCCCTTCTAGAGGTGAGACCCCAGTATCCTTTGGAGAACTTTTCTCCCACCCTTACGTGATCCCTTAGTCACCCCAAGTCGGGGAGGGACTCAGGGACCAAGCCTGGCCCACCCCTGGCCGCCGTGACTGGTTCAGGGGTGGGCACATGACCCCAGCAGCCGGTGAGAGTGAGCACTTTCCTTTGTCAGCTTAGAGCTGCAGGTACCACCTGGTCATCCTGGGGGAGAGGATGCCCAAAACTAAGCCAAACCTGGGGGGCGGGGCAGTCAAAATATGGTAGCAGAGATCAATTCTTACTGCCATTTAGCAGCTGGACGCAGGATGAGAGCCAGTACATTCTATTTTTCCATTCTGCTGATTTTTTGGGCAACCCTGGAGGGTGGGGGACTACAAATGGCCTCCTCATTTTATGGAGGAGGAAACTGAGGCCCAGAGGCACCTGCCGCCTCCTGGGGGTGAGTGCAGGGTCCCACAGCCCCGGGCCACACCTCGTCCAGGAGCTCTACCGAGGCCCGCAGGATCTGCCGCCACTTGTGCACCTCGACGCTGTGGAACTGCTTCTGCAGAGCCAGGACCTCCGCCCACTCTGCAGCCGTCTGGGGGAACTTGCTGTTGGGGGAACAGGGCCTGAGTGGAGTTCTGGCCTCCCCCGACCTGCCCAAGCTCCCAACCCCCTCAGGGTACCCACTCACTCCTTGGCCAGGGCCAGACTGTGCCAGG